CTCATTGACGGAGAGCTCTGCGAACTGCCCGCCGCCACGTTCTCCGATTCTTGTTTGATGTCATCTGTGTCCGCGGGGGTCAACGGAGTGTCGTTGTCATCTGTGGAAGTATCTTGAAAATATGAGCATCGACCGAACACACAATTCATCTCAATACTTAACGACACCAGTGGGTGAACAATGCCGCTGCTGCTACTGCTGCATCCACCGTTGACAGTTTTTTACAATAATGAACTACTAGTTAAAACAAGATCAAGTTTAAAATTATTGTCAAATGATACCTACCACTACCCTCAGAGAAACTTGATCTCCTCGAGTCTTCACGCTGACGCTTCTGCTTGTTGCACTCGGAACTGCAGCTTCTTTGGTTTTTTCCAAAACACTTCAACTTCTCCACCAATTGCTCCCGGGTTAAATTCGGATGTTCGTACTGCCCCAACCTTGCGTAGAGCTGTTCCAACGTCATATCTTCAAGAGTGATGGACCAATTCGATGTGATGACTTGAGATTCCGCTGTTTTCGATGATTCAACTTTGTCGGTGCAGAGTTGTACGCTGGTGATCGATGGATCCCGAGGAGAATTCGATGGACTACCAGATGCAGTGCCTGAATTTGATCGAGGCGAGTTACTATTCTGTTGGGATGTTTCGTGATCATTGTTAATGTCGCGATAACCACCATCATCAATATCACAATCACCACCACCACCACCACTACTACTACCACCACCATCACCACGACCACCGTCACCACCACCATCGCCATCCTGTTGTGAAGTTTTCGCCGTTTCAGAAAATGTGACATCTTCCATCTTTACGTGGTCTTTATTGTCATCAGGTGTATGCGAGGTGTCAGGATTAACGGTTTCATCGTCAACCTGAGCTCGCGTTTCATTCTTTGGTGAGTCCTTTAACAGATTTTCATTGGGCAGGGAATCTTGTGCATCAGATGATGCAGGTCGTGAGGGAGGCTGAAGGTGAGGGGGAGAAAATTCAGAAACGTTATCATCGTTCGACTTATGTGATACTGTTTGCATTTCCAATTGGGGATTTTCAGTGACAAATGTTAGTGTTTGGGCAGGGGGGGGAGGGGGGGGAGATGAATTGCTAAGAATGTTTGCATCTACGGCAGCACTGTGAACCATGTGCTCACCCACGTTGATCAAATGTGCGGAAGCAGATGGGACCACGAGGTCAGGTGGTCCACTTGTAGGAGGTATATTCCAAGTAGATGGTACCGGTTGCACAATTGGACTAGGGTTCAAGAGATTGTCCATAGGAGGGGGCTGGGCCGAGGAAAGAATTGAATCGGATTGAGGACTATCACTGATAAACATCTGAGTGCTTACCGATTGGCCAATTATGCCTGCAGCCGCGCCCACAGTCGATGCCTGTATGTTGGCAGCCAATTGATTGTTGTTAACAATTTCCATCGTCATTAACCTATTTTGTTCTACAATCCGGGCTTCAGCTAAAGATTCGACAATTTGAGCGTTTGCCAAAGACTCGAAAGGTTGCAGGGGACCGTTAGGTATCACGGCCTCCCCAGGACCTGTGGGAGTTTGATTGTTTGTAGTCGGGTTGTCCAACATCAAAACCACCGGTGACTGACCAGGATCATTGTCACCAGATAGGATCTGGGTTTGCTGTTGCTGATGTTGTTGGTGAGCCTGAGCCTGAGCCTGAGCCATGGCGGCAGCATGTGCCACAGCGACGGCGGTATGTGCCGCCTGTGCAGCTTGAACATGAGCTTGTTCCGCTTGAGCCGCGACAACCGCGACAGCAGCTTGAGCAACCTGAGCAGCTTGAACTTGCGCTTGAACTTGTGCCTGAACTTGCGCTTGAACCTGAGCATCCAC